CTGAAAGTGAGAAGACTGTGAAAAAGGCCTACTGCTGACAGAAAGAAGCTTTTCACTTCAGCCAGCTACAAACACACAGCATTGTGAACTAGCTTATATGGTTTGTGCCTCATTTGACTTTGAGCCACCTGGGGCCCCTCTGTGAAGCCATTTCCTGTTCGCCTGGTGATACTGAGGCCTGAGAACTGCTGTTGTTTCCTCACTCTGACACAGCTAACCAGAAGCTTTTCATTCCTCTCATACTTTACGCTGCTGCTCTTTACTTCTCTAAACTAGCTTTGGGTGGTAGACAGATGCCTGGTTACTCATTCATAACTGATGTTTGTTGTCATTAAATGTAAATATTTGCGGAACTTAGTCAATCAGGTTTATTTTTAGCTTTGTGACGAATGGTTCATGTCACACAGTTTGCTCTGCGCAGAGCTTCGAAAGAGGGAAACATTTATTTTTATGAACTATGCAACCAAACTATAACCAAGAACATAAATGACCAAATATGGAGATGTTTTCACATGACAACAGTGATATGTTGTTGCTCTAACATACTTATTATACTGTATGCACATGCACAACTAAATCGACTTACATGGAAGCTAAGTGTTTTCTTTAGACTTATGCTCTTCTACATTTCAAAGGCAATTATTATACGTTTTATTTTATGTAAGTTTACAGATGTATATGTTTTATGTGATCCACTTTTTGTTTTTCATCTTCCGTTTCTGTAAGTCTCTTTTTCTTTTTTTTCTGTGAAGAAACCTGCCAGTGCAGCCAGAACATTGCAACCTGTTTTTCAATGCTAATCAACTTTTGTAAAAATACATTTTTTCCTAATCCTAATGCACGGTTTGCATTATTCATCTTTGCTTTAAGCTACAGACACTCATTTCTAAAACATTTCTAAACAAGCAGATTTAATAAAAAAACTTAAAAATGTTACTTCACTGACACTTGTTTCATTTGTCTGAACCTGACAATGTTTAGGGCACTGTAATTCTAAAATAAGATAAGCCTTAATTGAATAAATAAATATTGAAATAATCTATTTTCCGAACAATGAGTGCTATACTCACACTTTTTTATATTTAGCTGATAATACTTTTGTTATTGTTTGTTTCTTGTACTGCTACATCACATACTTTTACTCCAGTAAAGTATTGTGTTACTTCTTCCACCAAAGACTCCAGTACACCCTCACATATTCAGTCAGGTCACGTCTTGGGGAGTTTCTGTCCACGTCTGCACTTCTTTTCCCTCTGATCCTTAAAGATAACACTGCTGGTCAGGTCTGCCTGCTCTTTCTGTAGCCTTCAGTCACAAACCCATCTGCCTGCTGCGATTAATACACACACTCACACACAGCTGACAGCTCTGTCTGCTTCTGTGTAGGAGGTCAACCTAGAATTATATCATGAGTCAGGAGCTTTGTTATTATTCTAAATGTGATAGTTTCACCAATGTGGTTTTGTAAATGTGCAGCAATTACCACAGAAACCATGTTTATAAGGTCTCATGTAAGGACAATGTATTGAAAAGGCACAGTCATTTCATAGAGTAAGCCTGTGTGAACGGAGGTTTAAAAGTCCAGACTTGTGGTTAAAAAAAAAAAGAAGAAAATTCCCACTCACACAAAAAAAGTTTCTCAAGCTGCCCTTAAGCAAGAGTCTGTGTGAAGTCAGGCAGCTACCATAGTCTACCATAGTGTTGATGGAAAATGGGCATGCGTAATATAAATTGTTGAATTTTAAACTCAACTCAGGAGTCCAGAGGGTCATTGCATTGGTTTTCCTTCTAGGCCTGATACCAGAGTTCACAACCTCCCCCTTGAGCAATCTATCCAATAACTCCACAAGCGCCATTCATCCAACTGAACACCACAGAGGGAAGCAATAATGCTGCTTGACAAGCTCCGAGTTAACAATGATTAACAAACAATAAGGCTCTCCTCCTTATCCTTGTAAAGGCCACAAACATCACATTAATTTGGGTGGTTTTGTTCAAAGCGAAAAATGCTTTCAGACAAAAAAGGGAACTAGTAGCTAGATTTCATTCAAAAAATGTTTTTGACTGGCTATGCTGCTACCTGAATTGCCATAAAACACATTTCCTCAGCTTGATTTGATGTATAATACGTGTTTAAGCATACAGCTTCTATGGATTTGTTATGTTACTGTAATTTAATGAACTTACAGCATGCTTCAGCTCACTATTGCCTAGCTCAGCTCATGTCAGATTACTCCAATGGTGTTAAGCCCCTCTCCCCCCCCATATATTTATACACACACGCGCACGCACGCACACACACGCACGCACACACACACACACACACCACACACACACACACACACACACACACACACACACACACACACACACACACACACACACACACACACACACACACACACACACACACACATCCTTTATTGTACAGTACAGTTCAATCAGGTTTAGAACTAGAGATGATCCGATCACGTGATCGGGGATCGGAGCCGATCACGTGATTTTCAAAAGATCGGAATCGGGAGAGAAAAACATATTTTTTTATAAAATATTTTTTTATTATTATTTAATGTTACAAAACAAAAATGACCATGTTCACAGCTTAAAGTCATCCTGAGAACTTAGTTTTGGTTTAAAATTACACAACATCAGGTATGTGTTGCTTCTTTTGGGCTTGTTTTCAGACCTGGTTGCTTATTTCTCTCAAATCTGGCAACAGAGTGGGCGCAGTGTCTAATAGAAGCAGTAAGAGGCTACGTTCAGCTGGTGACTCGGAAGTCGGGACAGAGAAACTGCCACAGAACAGTGAAAAGGCCAAAAAAATAACAGTCAAGATAGCTGAATTCATCGCGTTGGATGACCAGCCGTTATCTGTTACCTTTTTTTCTCTTAATGCATTGCATAAAAATCGGATCGGGAAAAATCGGTATCGGCCGATTGTCAAAATCAAATGATCGGAATCGGATCGGGAGAAAAAAAATGTGATCGGGACATCCCTATTTAGAACGTATCTACTAGGGATGGGAATTTGAAAGCAAATGTATATTCGAATCCCCAAAAAACGGTTAACCGGTTAACCGAAATGTACACATATATTAAAAAAAAATTGGGTCAAAAAAAAAATGTAAAACGTTTTTTTTTAAATAGTTTTTGGAAATAAATAAATACATGTTCAAATAAGTGTAGAAACCAAGTCGAATTTGTCAAATGTATTGAACTGGTGATCACAGTTTGACAGATAGGCCTACAGCTTTCATGTGCGGGATTCACAATCAGGCCAGCTGTTGAGAAGACCCTCTCAGCTGGAACGGAGGTTGCGGGTATAGCAAGGTATAGCATGTATATATAAGTTTAATTTGGCATAGTTTGACCTCTACACCGCACTCACTAACCTGGTCGAAATATTTCCACACATTACTCATTTTTGACGCCATGTCTGTTGTGTAGGACTCTTCTTAGAGTGTAAATAATTGCCGGACTATGACTGGTAAAATATGTTGAATACCGGCAAAACTAAATCTCTCCAGTCAAAATGTCTATGTACTTTGCCGCCACACACGGTTGCCAAGCAGCGCTTATTGTTGTTTAGGCTGGCCACTCATGTGTCGCGAGTGTTGACAGGGGGCGGGGGAGCACGCTCATGAACTGTTCGAACCTCACAACGGCTGCGGAGCGCATTTGCGCCGCATTTGGGCCTAAGATGAGATTTGAGTCTGCGTGATCTGCGTGTAGGGAGGGGCAGCAGCCATATCATTGGCTAGAACTAGCTAGATCTGATGGATTTGGACATTAACGTGAGTGAAGTATAACCGGACACGAGAGAAATCAGCACCTGCAGCTCTGCCCGCTGTGGGACCGGTGAGCGGAGCAAAACACACTTTTAGACGTCACCTAACACATTTAGCTATGGCACTGTCTTATACATTGAATTATTCAATTTGATAATATGTAATCAACTTAGCCATCCCTCCCAAAAAAAAAATTAATAACTCATATTCGAATACCTGAATAATTTCGAATATTCGATTAATCGTTCCCATCTCTAGTATCTACTATATATGCAGCGCCTGCCTCCCCCTCTCAGTTTAGTACAGTTGTGCTCCGCTCGCTGCCTGTGCTCGGTGACATCACCCTTCAAATATGCAGTCCTTCGTGGCTGAGCCAGAGCAGCTCGGTGGCCCCATTCATCTCAAGGTGCTGTCTGTCTGCTCCTTTGCAGCTCCACTCTCTTGTTGTCACTAATTGTCTCTCCTTCAGATGGGTGGGATAGGGGAGATCAAAGGTGAAAACGCTTACGACCTAATCGTTTTCTCTCTCGGTCTTAGGTTGGTTGTATATCTGTGAACGCTGTGCTTTTAGTTCCAGTATGCAGCACTCTCCTAAATGCAGATTGATTTTAGTGTGGTTGTGCAGCAAAAAAACACAATAATGATTGGTGATCTTTTTTTGTATTCTTCACATGTTATATGGTGCAGCTTGTTTTGCTCGATTTGAATGTATTGGAAAACATGATGATACAGGGGCTAACATAGATGGCTGGTTGTATATCTATATTCACATTGCTTATACTATGTGGCTGTGTTGACCCATCAGTGCTGTGTCAATGGTAAAGAGAAGCTTCTAAATGTTTGTGTTGTGATTATTCAAAACGGCTGCTAAACTTACATCTTGTAACTCCATAAGTAACATGTATTAATAACTGAGTTTATTTCTCAGCACGCTTATAAAGTGCATCTTTCCTCTGGGTGGAAATATATCTTTAGCTCAACATGCTTGTGAAGGATTATTCGTAAAGCTCATCCTCACTGCATTCCCTATCTCATAATGTTAGACGATGAGTTTTACATCTGCCGAATGTACTCACGCAAGGTCTTTCATTTGCATAGGAATGTGAATTCTTCAGTTTCAGCTCTTCCTAACTCCAACTAATGTCTTCCTCATGTGTGTTTTCCTCCCATTCAACCAGAGCAATCTTTTAATGTTTTGTTTGTGTCTTTCAGAATGAAGAGAAGCGTAGCCTTAACTTGGGCGGACATGTTGGATTTGACAGCCTCCCTGACCAGTTGGTCAGTAAATCGGTCACACAGGGATTTTGCTTTAACATCTTGTGTGTAGGTGAGTATCAAACAACAGCATGTGACCAATGTGTGTAACAGAATGAGTTAGATTAGTAAATACTGTTAATAATTAGCAATTCAAGGAACCCTTGTTGAAAGCTGATGAGTTACTTCTATGTGACTTAAGTGACAAAACCCTCTCTCTCATCTCTCTCTACTTCCTCCCACCCACAGGGGAGACTGGCATCGGCAAATCAACGCTAATGAACACCCTGTTTAATACCATGTTCGAGAACGAAGAGGCGAGCCATTACCAGAATGCCGTGTATCTGCGGCCGCGAACATACGACCTGCTAGAAAGCAACGTCCACCTCAAACTGACGATTGTTGACACCGTCGGCTTCGGTGATCAGATCAACAAAGAGGACAGGTGAGGATGGTACAATGATTATCAATGATGTGAGGATAGTTGCATTATGAAGCCTCGATGCCATGATGGCATTTTTATTTTTAACAGCATTTCAGCGATATATTTTAGTGTGAAGCTGCTCCTACATGTTTACCTGCTGCATGATAGCTTAAGCATTGTTAAACAATTGTTTCTGTTTTACAGCTGTCTGATAACTGTAGGAGTACAAAGTCAAAATATTTGAAATGATGTACAGTAGTATATAAATTAGCATAAAATGGAAATACTCAAGTTCCTCGAAGTTATATTTGGGTACAAGACTTCTGTAAAACATTGAAAAGCTTCTGAATCCATTTATTTATGAAATACTTTCATACCAAATGTAAACTAGTATAAAGCCATACTCTTATATGAATACTAACCAACTTCAGATCAAACCGAAACCGTCCTTACTTTGAGTCAATCTGTTGCAGAATTAAGACGACAATGTGTATAAGAGAAACAGTTACTGCACAAAAACAGTGCCATTTAAGCACGAGGAAAGTTTAAATGTTGTTATAACGGTTTTGTCCTATTCGTCAACACCCATTCATCTGGTACTAATTTCCCTGTCAATCCCAATGCAAACCCTCATTTCAGCTTTCAAGATTACAGTGCATAGTTTTGCCGAAACTAGGTCCATGTTGGCTTGTGATACTAATGAGAGAAACAGACCCAAACTTATATCAGTCCAGGTTTTGAGAGTTCTCTATAGAACAGAATACGAGCTGGGAGAGCAATAAAGAGGAAATGGCTTTTTCTTAAACATGCAGCTGTGGAATGGACTGTTCTTATTGTGACCTAGCCAGCGAGCAGCACTCTCACGCCCTTTGATAGAGGCTTTTCTGTAGGCCGTATAAACCAACATGCTGAAGGACAGAGCCTGCAGCGGACTGTACATGCTCACTGAGAGAGCCTCAAAAGGTCAGAGTTGGTGAGAAGATTGAAGATAGATGTGAAGGAAGAGGACAGATGACTGTAAACATGCTGCTGGCTGAGGATATAGAGTATATTGTTTGGACTTATGTCTCACTCTGAGCTGTAAAATGTGGGAAGACTTCCTGTTAAGAATTTATTAGCATTAGACAGCTATTATAAAGGAAATGAGTCACCAGCACACAATGACATCTGGCTGACAAATGCAAAGATCGGTCTTATTATACTCGTGAAACTTTGCATTTTGGGCTTGTTTCTTGTAGGTTGCTCCACTTTTCTTCCTAAAAACTTGATAATGTGAGTCAAACTTCAGTCTTTTGGATGCTTTAAAAGTCTTAAAAGGCATTGAAATCATTCATCTAAAACATACATCTTCATGGGTATTACATTTTATGAAATCAATCTTACAAAAAGTCATAAAAATGCTAAGATGTGGGAGGTAGGAGTTTATCAATTCTTATTTTTCTGACATCAAATCTCAAAACAAATGCACATTTTTACAAAAATAGAGGTCACTCTAGTTTTTACGCCATGCCTGAAACCAGCATTAATGCAATCTATATTATGCGCTGTTAGCTTTGTACAGGAAATGATTCAAACCCAGCACATTAAATCATGTAGTCTTCAACAGCATAATATGTAAGGCCAAAGTGATTTCGTGAGAACTCAACTATGACTTTAAGACTTGCGTCTATGGTGACTGATACATTACAACCTCAATTCAAAGAGACTTTCATTTGTGGCAGCTGTAATGCAGTTTATTAAATACAGTATGTGGTCTAATGTTGTCATTCTCATCTCTCTGAGCTAAATGAGTTAAAGCTGCAGACTGAAATAAACTGCTTAAAACAAACTTGCTTTGAATGCAGCACACATTTTCTCCAAACGGTCTCATCTGACATTATCAGACTGGTGCCCGGGTTGAAAGACATTAAAAATAGCTTCCAGAGACAAACGGTACTGCTGCATTAACAAAGATAAGATATCATTTTGGAAAAGGGTTGTAAGAAAGGACTGACATTTAACCTGATAATAACTCTAGTAAGAAAAACGTTCAGAATAAAAGGCACTACCAGGCTACGTGACAAGGCAACTAATAGCATTAGCTACTATAGAGGCAACGTCTTTATGTTATGTTAGGACTAATGTTTCCACATATGTCTCTGCAAGGTAAGGGATTTCTGATATTGGTGATGAAGACAAATCAGCTCTCAAGTCCTAAAACAATAATCACATTTCTTACAGTATTGGTTCAGAGTTAGTCCTGTCTAGCAGTCATTTCAATTTATATAATATCAAAATTCACGTTGCTTTGATATTGTTGATGAAACCATTGACTCTCAGAATTCAAACCTCAAATACTAGAAACCTCTGATGTTTTCACATTGTACATGTCTATCTATGTGATCTACTGGTGACACATGCTACACACATGCTACACATGCTCACTAATATCTCTTTCATTTTTTGTAAAGCACTTTGAATTGCCTTGTGTTGGAAAGTGCTATATAAATAAACTTGCCTTGCCTTGCCTTGCCTAAAAGAGGACGGGATGTTTTGTGACTTTTGTGACCAAACTACCAAGCCGAGAACACGTTTCATGCAGCAGTAAGCTGTACAGCTATAAGCCGAAATCTTGGCGTAGAATCAGCTCGCATGAAAACACAACTATCGCTTTTAATTTCCTTCGTGACAAGTCCACATTTCATTTCACAATATTACAAATGAATTGGAAGCCAAATATGTATGCTTTTAACCACAAATAAAAATCCTTATAGTTCTTCCTTGGCTCTCCCCACAGTTACAAGCCCATCGTTGACTACATCGACACTCAGTTTGAAAACTATCTGCAGGAAGAGCTGAAGATCAAACGCTCGCTGTTTAACTACCACGACACCAGGATCCACATCTGCCTATATTTCATCGCCCCAACAGGACACTCCCTCAAGTCCCTGGACCTCGTCACTATGAAAAAATTGGACAGCAAGGTAACTGACACACAAGCACAAAAGGAGATGTGGTTTTCCCCCTTTGGCAAAATGCTTTTCCCAGTGTCAGTGTTGCTGTAATCTGACCTCGCTTTCACTGAGGTGTGCATATCCCTGATCTGTTTTGTTGTGGTGGGGCCTCTGTGTGTCCCAAAAGAATAAGAAATCTAAAAGAAAAATGTAGCGAGTGAATGTGCAAGCTTCCCTTTTGACGTACAGGATTTCAAGACCTGCCCTACAGTATATGGGGTTTCACACCTAAAAGCCTGCATGTTTTAGCAGCTGCATGTGTCCAAGTGAAAAGGTTGAACATGTGGCTGTGAAAGAAAGGTCAATTCCACTTTCTTAATTTCAATTTATATAATATCAATTTATATATGATCAAACACAATTCAGTAATCTACAGTGTAAATAATTGTCATTACTGAGTTTGTGTTTGACCAAATTCCAGTTTACGGGTCAGATGTACAGAAGTCAATATTTACATTCAGAGCCACATTGATTTGTTACTTTTTTTTTATTGCTCGTGTGCAAGTTTCCCTCACAAATGATTGGTTGGTAGATCCATGTTTTGCCATTGTCTCATTGGATACCAAATCACTGGCTTGGCCTCAATTAGAAACACATCTCATCAGAGCAGCAGTTAGAGCGTGAAAGCGGGGGAGAGTTAGTTATGGGGGGGGAAGGACGGTGACAGAAATGGGCAAGCAGGCAAATTCTAAGGTATAAATTGGAGCCGTAATTGTTGAGATTATATAATTTATATTTTCTGGAAAATCTTTTTCTTTGTCAGCAGTTTAATTAGAAGTTTTCTTTTGAAGATTAAGCTAATATAGCAAGGCATTGTGACTATTGCTACTTATGATCAATCAAGACGAAATTAATATATAGAGATAGATTTTAAGCAAATAATGTCTATAAGTTTATGGTATTGAAATATACATATTTTTCTTCTTGATGACACACATTTATTAATTCAATTTCTTGACGTTTTGGATTTCCTAAGATATTTTTGAAAAAGGCTCAGTGATATCACAAACGGTTTTTGATCCTGAATCTTGGTGGAATTTAAGGCAGAAAAAAGCACATCCAAACATTTCAAAGCCCTGAAGGAAATAGGCAGTTAAATGGCAAACGTGAAGATTTGCTCGCTCGACCTAAGGTTAGGAGGGTCATATTAACTCCTTGGATATTTGTAAGCACTGAACCTGAGAAAGCTGCATCAGCGTAGAGACAAAATGTCATTTCTATTAAATTGTATTGGCTTTTATGATTTAAAGGATGTGTATATGCTCGTGTACATCCTGTCATAGCACAAGGTTTCGGAAAGCACTGCTGCATGAATGACGAAGTTGGCCCTGCTCCTGTCTGTTGAGGCAGTGAAAATGAATCAGGAGCAAAGCAGATGGTCAGCCTGTGACCAAAACCTGCCGACTTACCTCTGCCAACTATCAGCGCACGGCTACGCAGCTCTGCCAAGTATCTCCGGGTACTTTTCAAAACAATGACCGGATTATTCAGCAAACTGCTCCTTGCAAGGGACAGTTTAAAGTTTTAATGGGGGCTTCAGATTCAATAATTTTGTCGTATTTTTGGAATTCATTATTTTACTATATTTAAATTACGTTCACTTAACACAAATGTTGATGTATTATTATTACAATTTATTGAAGACGGTTATAGTGGAATCCATTTGACATCTTTTATTCCAATTTGAGCCATCCCGACTACTTTTACTGCCAAGTTTTACCTGAGGACCAAGTGGCCGAAGCCAAGAACCAGAATCCTCTTCAGCAGAGAGGACTTCACATAGAAAGGGCCAGGATCCAAACTCGGCAGTTCTTTTCATATAAGGGTGCAGCGCTGACCACTGAGCCTCTGTTCTGTCTTAAGCAGCCAACAGAGTGATCAAAAGCTGGCACTTGCAGTAGCCAACTGTCTCCTGATGCTGTCCAAAGCACCACAGCCAACTCTCTGAACCCTTTGCTTTGAATAAAGACTTGGTAGTGTACTTGAGCTAAATATATTACCTTTATCCCAGTATATGAACCACAGCAAATCAGGTACATTGAGCTAAATGGCATTGGTTTTGTGAAGTTGCTTACCTGCTCTACTCTAATGAGTGAAAGCAAAGTAAAATCTTCACATTCATCCATATGAAACATTATCCTTGAAAACCTCCATTATGTCTGTAAAGGACATTTTGGTGACACACCCTGAAAAGGTATTTTGCACAGTGCCTGAATGTATAAAATGACAGTAGTATTGGCGACACACTTTTATCCAAAATGATTTACAGCATTGTGAGTGAAGCAGTGTGTTGAGATTTAGATGTGGCCATGAGAACCTCTCTGACCCCTGTGGCTCTGTCCCTGCAATCTATTCACTTTGTGAAATATGACCCTTGTTTTATCTGAAAGCAAGCCAGTGTCGATGACCACAGTGTGTATGTGACACTTTTCTGTTTTACAGGCCTGGTGGGTTTTTATGCAGTGGTTTCTAGATAAAATAATAATGTGCTGCTGGCAATTTGCAGCAGTGGCTCGCCACATGCTATCTGTCTTAGCACGTTTTCATGAGCTCTAGATACCCACAGGCCAACCACAAGAGTACCTTCTTGCTTCTATTAGCCTAAAAGAGACACAGATACATTAGGGCTTCATTAATGATTCATTTTGGTTGTTGATTCAGCATACAGGTAATTTTTCAATTAACCGATTGTGTCCTTAGTAAGTAAAACGTCAACAATACTGTTTTATCCAACACGTAAAAATATGCAATTATAAAACGGAGAGCCAATCTTCACATTTTAGAAGCTGGAACTTGTTATCAAATTAATCAACCAGCACCAAAATACATGGTTATATTTGTAATACATTACATTGCAATTTGAAGCATTTGAGTCAATCTTCAGTAGAATTAAGATCCACGGTCACATTAGTTTTGTATTTTTTTTTGCTGAGATATCAATAGAAGTGTTGTATAATCTGTGGGAATATAAACTTTTAAACCTAAACTGAAGAAGAAAGAAAGAGCCCTGTCACTGACAATCCAGAGCAGAAATAACTATTTGCTCGAACTGCTCAGAGTTGGCTGTCAAGGCTAGACAATGGTGTTTTTCTTGTAAATCACCCCTCCCTACAGAGGATGGTTGAAGCCAGTGAGTGTGGTATGTGGTGGATGAAGGCAGGAAGAGAGATAAGGGTCTGAAAGAGGAGTCCTTTTGTTTTAACGTTTAGTTTTTCTTAAATATGACAGAATCATTTTTAGTTAATCAAGTATTATTAAGTCTTCAATGATTATTTACATGCTAACTGTTCTGTAGTGGACACATGGACCCATCTGGGGCTCCTGACACTGAGAACTATTTGGGAATACTTCGTGGCCAGCTTGGAAAACCCACTTGTGGAAAGTGAACAAACATCCCTGTCCCCTCCCTCCTCACTTGTCAGAACTGGATCGCAATTAATAAACTTGGTTTGTTTCTGCCCTGCTGTAAATTAATGATCCAATAAAGTATGATGAGCCTGTCATTTGAGTCTGAACAAGCGCTGGCTCTTGCTCTGAGGCACACAATGGAATTGATGAGTGAATCTGTGGGGATCCTCAGCATCCTCCCGGTTAATGACTGGGATAATGCAGCCGTACTGAGAAAAGCAGACAAACTGCATGTTTGTTTCTGCACATCTGCTGCTGGTTGGAGATGAAGCCTAGTTTGTTTTATTATCTGTTGGGGTTCTGTCTGAGTGTATTCACTAAACAGTGTTGCTGCATATGGTCTTGGATGCCTTCTTAGTAATATTAAGCACAGCACTTAGGTTGGTTTCTGTTTATACGTAGGTCCTCGGTATGTTTAATTAGCTTTATTCACATTGATTGTTAACGGCCCGCTGATCTATGGCAGTGAATTGCTCTAATCTTTAATTTACCGAATACATCGATTTTCTTTGCATCTTCTCATCATATTGAGATTGATGGGTTTATATGAATTCCACGTTTCCCCTTCAACACAAACAAAGCAGCTTTCACTTTAGGAATGCATATACTGTATGTCTTTGGCAGACTCAACCTTTAAAACAAGGACAATGGACTACACATTTGATAACTTATCTTATTAACTCCTCCCTGTCTTCTTCTCATCCTTTCCTCAGGTGAACATCATACCGATCATCGCCAAAGCAGACACCATTTCCAAGAGTGAGCTCAACAAATTTAAGATAAAGATTATGAGCGAGCTGGTCAGCAACGGGGTCCAAATTTATCAATTCCCAACAGACGACGAAGCCGTCAGTGAGATCAACGCCTCCATGAACGTAAGTCATGTTGTGACACTTAACAAGCATCTTTTTACTTTAACTGGAATAAGTCACCCCTTTTTTTTTTTGTAAGGCAAGACAAGGAAAGGCAAGACAAGGAAAGGCAAGACGAGGAAAGGCAAGAGGAGGAAAGGAAAGGCAAGACAAGGAAAGGCAAGACAAGGAAAGGCAAGAGGAGGAAAGGCAAGAGGAGGAAAGGAAAGGCAAGACAAGGAAAGGCAAGAGGAGGAAAGGCAAGACAAGGAAAGGCAAGAGGAGGAAAGGCAAGAGGAGGAAAGGCAAGAGGAGGAAAGGCAAGAGGAGGAAAGGCAAGACGAGGAAAGGCAAGAGGAGGAAAGGCAAGAGGAGGAAAGGCAAGAGGAGGAAAGGCAAGGCGAGGCAAGTTTATTTATAGAACAAGGCAAGTGCTTTGCAAAAATTAAAAACATTAAGAGCATTAAGAAATTGTGCATTAAAAAGCAAAGATAATAAAACATGAATAACACAGGTACATGAATAAAAGCAGCGGCAAAAAGAAAAGTAATCAGCTTGGATTTAAAAGTAGTAAGAGTTGCAGCGGACCTGCTTGTTTCTGGTAGTTTGTTCCAGATATTTGGAGCATAATAACTGAATGAAATTCAGGTCAGTGTCCATGATTTCTGGCTTTATCTGTTGTTTTGAACATTGCAGACTGAAGCTCAGTGCAAGGCAAGGCAAGTATATTTATATAGCACCTTTCACCACACAGCAAATGTTTTCCTGTCCCTGATACAGAGGCAACTGACACTGGTGGGTATGTTAGTCTGGCGATGGTAGCAAACAAGGCACATGCTTTGTTTTTGGCAATGATGTCAGAGAAGAAAGACTGTCGTGCATTTTTAATTTCAAAATTATGAAAGCCAGGTCTCTCTTTATGGATGTCAAAATGAACCTGGAGATTTGTTTTCCGCCACCTGCGTTCAGCTTTTCGACACTCTTTTCTCTGTTCTCACGGTCATGGCCTTTCTCCATGAAGATATTTTCTCGCCAGACATTTCCTTTACCTTAGTGGGAGCAATGGCATCTATAACATTTAAAAAAAAAAAATTATTTAACAGCTCATTTACTGAGATGTTAGCGAGGGCAAATGTGGAGTAAACATTTCCCTTTTTTTTTTTGTGTGAACAGAAATAGAGCTCTCAAAGAAAACACAGGAATGATCAGAGAGCGACACGCTTCAAATAGTTGAGAATACAAATTATACAGTTAGGCCTCATTGACTATTATATTCGTAAATCTTTTCCAAAATTTGCTTTCAGAAATGTTTATACTTGTGTTCTCAATGTGGGTTTTAATAAAAATAATTGGGTGAATAAAGCCCATTGTTCTTAGAATTGTGACACTTCTTAACATTGTAGGATTTACAAGGATTATCTGTGTGCCAACTGTCTTTGTTACATCATGTCTTTAGTGCCACATGTGTTACACATCTGGTAACAGCGGCATATGTTGACACCATTTTATTGTTTTAACACATACTGAAGTAATGCTGTTTATCCAGACGCTTTGCAATCCCACAAATCCAAAGTGCAAACGGGGAAAAAAAACTCAACAATTTTAAAAGACAAGCTGACCCTAGGCATGTGCTTGAACAAACAGTCTAAGCAAACATTATAACTAAAAACTATATGACTACTGGCTCTGTTTGATTACACTTGTTCTCCATTCCTAAATTCTTTCCATAATCAAATATTTGTTGAACTCTATAGCAGCACACGCTTTCCTACAACCGGCAATATGTCAATTTAAAAATGTTCCATTTTGAAAATAAACTGTTTTTTAGAAATACTGAAAAATTATATTAATTTAGCAATGTAATTCAACATGTGCTCTTGATTTTGGCTCAGGCAGCACAAACACCTTTTATTTGTAAAGCCTTTTTGAGTTATGACTTTAAAATGGAGATGATGCCTAATCACACTGTGCTTAAACATGCCCACACTCAGCTAATTCTCTCATGGATAAATGAGTGCAGACCATGTACAGTATCCCCATCTATTCATAGTCCGTTACATCAGCGCCCACACTCACCAGCTTGTTCCTCTGAGCTGCGAGCAGCCAGCTGGTTTCAACTCACCACACATTTTTGAGGTTTTGTATCAGGCATGTTTTCCCCATGATGCTTCACAGTCGATCCTAACGAGGCGTAGTAGGTCGAACGTAGCTAGAAAGTCTGTTTGTGTTTTATCGCTTCAACAAATGGGTGTCTCAGCCCCAACTAAGCCACATGTAAAACTTAAAACACAGCTCTGGTGCAGCTCATGTGTCGATGTGGTTACACTTCTCTGTGGTGTGGGATGGTTGTGAAAGATAAGAGGGACGACAGCCTCAGTGAAAGATTTTATTTGAAAGTCAACACACTTTTATTTATCTTCTTTGGTCCTATTTGTTCATAATAACTTGTTTATCTAGTTAAGTACTTAACTTGTGAAGTATTCGCCGAGCTGCAACCGACACCGTCATGAAGACAGGAAAAAAAAAGTTGAACACAAAGAAAACAGGGAGATGGAATTCAGCCCCTGTGAAAGGCTTCAGTTACATCCCTGGCCTTTTGACATTTTTAACAAAAACTTGTTTTCCCCTACACAGGCCCTTCTGCCCTTTGCTGTGGTTGGGAGCGTGGAAGAGGTCAAAGTGGGGAACAAAACCGTGAGGGCCAGACAGTACCCCTGGGGTATCGTGCAAGGTGAGAACCATTCATATGCAAGTTAATCAGGGTGTGTGTTTGTGTTTCTCAAGCAGGCACAACAGTAGGTGTTTAACTTCTTTACTGACTTTATTTTTTTAAGTGAGACAAAGACAGTGCCAAACTGTAATATTGGCACTGTGATTTAAGGTTTAAATATTTATCTTAAATCAACAGGACATCTATGGAACAATTATTTCCTTTGAGGTAACATAGATAAATAGTCCCATAAAAATACATATTCCTTAAAGTGCCAGTAAATGATAACTCTACCGCTTCCTGCCAGTAACTGATACAAATCGTGTTGCCTGTATAAAGCAAAAGAGAGGCTGAAACGTTCTTATAATAGTCACAAAATGAATTCATGTGATTCATCATCAACAAGGACAGATTTGATACCGCATGCCGCTGATTGTTTAGACGATGATTGTTGCTAATGGAGAAAGGGCATGCTGAGAAGGCAGTGACGTCCATCAGTATCCATGGGGAAAGATGTTTTCCTGCTCACGGCGGAGTGTCCAGTGCGTCCCACAGTTTGCCTGTTTATTTATACCCTCCCTCTTAATGCCGAGCGCCCTCCACAGCTGCGAGGCTGACTTCATGCCGAGTGACACTGCGAAATGAAGGACGAGCGGGAAGAGATTGTTTGGGAAATTGCCAGTGTGCGGCAGTGATATCTGTGAGGCTAATGTCTTCCACTTTGTGCACATACTGTATGTTTATCCCTATTTATATCTGTCTTTGTGTGTGCTTTGCAGTCATGTATGCATATGTGTGCATGTGTTGCTCATGGAGAAATCACCAGGGACATTTGTTTCCCACAGCTCATTCCTCTGGGCTTGTCAATGATAGTAAACAATTTAATTTAAGAATGTCACGCAGAATTGTGCTGTGAGAATATAACTGCTCTGATGGGATTCGGACTCTCAGAGAAGCTTTATCTTCCCTCCCTTCCTTGGATTACTGCTCTCGGTTCCTCCCCCTGTCTTCCTTTCCCTGACCACTGTCATTCCCCAACCCTCAGAGGACACTTTCTATGGTTATTTATAAAGCCTGCTGTGTGTCTCATCGGGAACAGATTCCTTCAGACTCCTTCAGTCCCCATGAAACTATAGCCTTGTTCAGCAAAATGTAGGATAGTGCCATCTGTGAAAAGTTATCTATGCTTTACTGGAAGCTCATTTATTTCAGGGATTAGTGTCAATCAAAAATGTTTTTGTCATTCTCTTCAACAGAAATGAACAGGTGGTAGATATTTGCTAGAACAGGTCTGATAATGATACATCGAAATGCTCACTGTAGAATGTCAAGAACACGGAGGTATCAAGGGGAACATTAATGTAAAGAATTATGTAATAACTTGAATTCAAATATATAACCAGCTATAATTCATCTCCCACAACTCTTTCATGACAAGACAACAATTTTATTTATTTTTTGTTTGTCTTTTTTACGGATGATGTAAAAGCATTTCTATAGCCGACTAAATGTAGCTAAATAAATTATTACTAGTTCAGTCAGAAAAAATGTCAAATTGATATCAAAAGAAAATTGACTGAGGCTTATCTGAGGCTGTAAGAAATGATGATGCTGTGTTTCCACATCCAAAGATAAGACATTACATCTATAACAAATAATGTATTTTTCTTTGTGTACATCTGCTTTGCCCATCACTGCCTGACAACTCAAATCTTGGCTGCTGGGATGCGATTCAAAAACCCCACTTTGCCTCTAGTCAGGCCTGCTTGCAAACCGATGGCTCGCCATTGGTACCACACACTTTGTCACAGTATCTGAGGGCAGACAGGACAGCAGAGGACAGACGTCTCAGTGTTTTTACTCCACTTGGCCCACAGAGAGGAAGGGCTGTGTCAGTGGAAACTGTTTGCGGGTGCCAGATGTCATATAGATGGGTTATGGTAACCTCTTGAAGAGCCGTGGGAAATGTCCATAGACGTGAAAACAGAGGAAGGTCTGTGTGCTGATAAAAAGAGTAATTCAACAGCTCTCAGAGTGTGTATGAGCGTGTTGGTCTTCCCTCAAGATCGTAATGCTTTGTTATCTCTCACATCGAGACATATGTGACCTAAAGCAGACCTTCCTATAATTCTTATCCGCAAGCTGCTGTGTTTGTTTAACCGTGCAAACATGATGTAGTGGGTGTTTGTACAGTATATGAATATGGTGTTATCAATCACTGACTTGCATTAGCTTCTCAGTAAGTATTTATTTCCCAATTACAGCATTTAAAAAAAAAAAAATGGTTGTGTGAAATTGTAGGGTTTTGTAGTTGGTTCATTTGCTTGTTAATTGAAAAGAAATTGAAACAAGAAAAAACAGAATCACACATGAAAGACGCCAGTGCACTTCCGTCACATATTACCCCTAAATAACCCCCCTTGAGATATAGCGCCACCCATACAACAACACATTACAATAACATTTATTGGTAGGCTTTAGAGCAGCATCTATCCTATAAATAAATCTGCTTGTCTCCCAATCATGACCTACAGTAATAAAGCCTTACCAAAACACAAGAAGAAAAATGATCATCCTGAATGATCATCATGAACACATCGTTCATTTTTTTCATTTGGCCCGTTACAGCAGATTTACTGCAACCATGTTTTCTCTGTTCTCTATTTAAAAGTCACTGTTCGCATGCTGGCGTGTGTGTGTGAGCTGGGATATCTTGAGGCTCAGCGCTGCAGTCAGTCTGAGCACTGGCCCTCAGTCAGCCCTCAGTGGGGGGGCGCGGGGGGGGGCAAAACAGAGAGACTATTACATGCCAAATGAACAGGCAATTCAGTAGCCTGAATGCAGCCCCAGGGAACAGCTCATGTCTGTTTTTAACTTGTATACTCCCACTAATGATATGTTGTCAGACTCTGTACAAATAAGTGATTTAGAAAGCTGCTTTTTTTCATGTCTTTTTCAAAATGTATTGTGGGTCATTCAATCAGATGTTGATGATAATTACTTTGATTTATGTTTTAAGCTTAATGCCATCCTAATTAGGCTTTTCCAGTGTTATTATTGCCATCTTTGCGTCCTCAGCTCACAGCTTGTGATGGTATTTAAACCCAACATACATCTCCGTCCCCACCACTTTCAGCCCGGGGTTAATTGCATATGCTCGAGCCCCTGAAACACCACGTGCCTCAACACAGATCTGAGACAACAGGAAAGCCCTTTATAGCTTCTTTCTGATGTTGGCTAACAGGTTGATCACATTCAATTCCTCAAAGGGGAAAGTACGTTTTTCCCTCTGACAACACGTGTGTTTTAAAGAGTCATTATACTATTCCCTAGACTAAGCAGCTATCATTTATTCACCACAGCTGCGTTAGGTTGTGCTGCAGGATTTTAGTGCTTAGCAGAAATGTGGCACTTCTTCAGTGGCCCTCATTTAAAGATTGGAGATTGAGCACATCAAATACACGTTTTCCAAGTTTCCACATCGACTTCAAAAGTATTATAAAGTCTTTAAAAGGGGGGGAAATAATGCAAAGGGAGAGGAAAACTTTATTTTCAAAGGAAAAAGTGATTTTTCTTGACGAGAACAGTGCAAAATGGGAGAGTTGGCAGAAATGATTGTCTGCAGAAGTTTAAAATAGGTTGCAATCAGTTATTTCCCACTTAAACTAAAGGGGAAGTGTGCAACATTTGGTCATTGGTCTGAAGGAAGCATTCAACTCTTATATTGTTTCAGTCACATTTATCAGACCTGTAGCAAGCACTGTCACTCCTGCTAGCTACAGTATCTTGGAAGCTCACCTTTTTCAATGGGAACATATTTCTTAAGCAATCCGATCCGTTTTCTGTCACTGTTCTAGTTAGCAAGTTGTCGTATTATAAGGAACGACCCTATTATCCCTGGTTTTCCATCATACTTTCACCCCGCTACTTACTATTAGCAGCATATGTATTGCTATATAACTCCCCACTTCTCCAGACTACATCCTCTGTCAACATATTACCACCCATGCCTACTTTACACTAACCACATTGACCTTAGCTATGGCCTCTAACAGAACAAAACAATCTACGTGCTAATTTCCAGAACAGTCCATATTGTTGCTCTGGAGTAAATGAGGTGACCTGGGAGTAAAAAGGCTTCATGACGCCCAGGGCATGAACCCCCCCCAGCTGTCAATCTGTCAGGCAGGAAACGCTTCCTGCCTTTCCCCACCATGAAATCATTCAACTGTGAGAGTCAGTCAGACGTGAAACTAAAGTCAAGTTGTTAAAGTCATACAAGTAGGAAAAATGAACTTTGTAAAAAAGGGCATATTATCAAACCCTCTTTGTCATCAAAGATTAGTTTGATTGAATGGATGCCAAATGGAATCCAGTTGTACTTTGCATTTCACATTCCTGTAGAGATGTGGTATGATTTCCTGCTTTTAAGAGAAAGAGGTGGAGAGGAAGGGATGTGGACACCGTGACAGATGGGCTGTTAAAATGAATTGGAAGACGTGATGAAGACAGCCAGGAACATAATGAAAAGAGAGAAGCAAACACTCCGAACTCAATGTGACTACACATCTGACGCTGACACCAGAAACCAATTGTTCAAACACCGTAGCAGAATGTGTTGCTGCTCTACTAATCCTTTCTGTGTTTTCCCTTTAGTCGAGAACGAGAACCATTGCGACTTTGTGAAACTGCGAGAGATGCTGATCAGGGTCAACATGGAGGATCTGAGGGAGCAGACCCACGCCCGCCACTACGAGCTGTACCGCCGCTGCAAGCTGGAGGAGATGGGCTTCAAAGATACAGACCCCGACAGCCAGCCGTTCAGGTAGCGAGAGGAGAGAGAGAAGAGACACACTCCAAAACTTCAGAGATACCAAAGTATCAACAGCAGGGAGAGTCTCTATTATTAGGAGACAACGACTAATCTATTCCTGTCTTTTCATCCGTCCAGTCTTCAAGAGACGTATGAGGCCAAGAGGAAAGAGTTCTTAGGGGACCTGCAGCGTAAAGAGGAAGAGATGCGACAAATGTTTGTCAACAAAGTCAAAGAGACGGAAGCAGAACTGAAAGAAAAGGAGAGAGAGGTACGTCTCAAGTGGAAATGATTGAGGACACAATATTAGTTTTGAACATATATCAGATCATAGTTATCAGTCATCTTCATGTCATTTTAGCTGATTTTATTGTGAACTGGTAAATGCTTGGTTGGGGTTGTATAAGCTTAAGTGGTTTTAATGTGTCCACGCAAAAACATCATGTAAAGCACTTTCATTTTGCATTATTTGAGTCAGGGTTATCAGCATAACTACATAATACATGACAAATGCGGTAATATATAAACAATTGTAAGACGTACCATTTTCTTGTATTCAGTTCAGCCCATTGTGAGATCCATTTAACCATAAAGAGTTAGCTTAACAGTGAAATGTCACTTAAGAAGTTCAAACTCAAATCTCTTCTCTCCTCACCCCCGTCCTGTCCGTCCATCTTCCCATCAGCTGCATGACAAGTTTGAGCAGCTGAAGCGGATGCACCAGGAGGAGAAGAGGAAGGTGGAGGAGAAGCGGAGAGACCTGGAGGAGGAGATGAACGGCTTCAACAGGAAGAAGGTGGCCGCCGAGACGCTCTCCTTATCTCAGCCGCTCAAGAAGGACAAGGACAAGAAGAAGTAAGGCACTCCCTCCCTTTTATCACTCACTCTCTCTTCTCTCCATGGCAGGAAGCTGCTGTTTCCAACTCCTCTATTCAACTAATCCTGTTGTCCTTTCAGTCTGTGCCTTAAACCGCTTCCATCACCCCTTCTCTTTCTGCTCTCTAACCCCTGTTACAAGTCTGTTAAGCGTTAGGCATGCATCTTGCCAGTCCAGTGGCAAAGTGTCACATGAATGAGCTTTTAACTGAATGTGCTGTGCCGTCACTGACCTCTCCAACACACAAGCTTTTCACCTATTATAAAGGCCTGGCATGTGTTACGGAAACTCTCTTTCCCCCCCCCCCCCCCCCCCCCCCCCCTCCTTTTTGTACTGCCCAAGCTTTCCTGTCCTTTCACTCTTTCCTTCTGCTTTGCTCTGATTATTTAGGATATTCAGGGAGGAGACGGTGAAGCAGTTGAAAGCTGAGCTTAAAAATATGTGAAGCGGAATACAGATCACAGGGCAGACGTGATCTCAATAGGCGTATGCTAATTGAGCGTATTAATGATAGCACGGGTATAAATGCCTTTTTATGCTTCAGCTCATTAACTGTAGGTGTTGTACTGCATTTCATTTCATAGATGAATTCCTCACCTCAGAAAGTTGTATTTTCTTCTAATTTGAGTCCAATATGATAGTCGGCTTCAGAGAGTTTCCATCGTTCAGTAATCCAAAGCAATGCACATCATGTATATGGTTGACAGTTTATAGTTTTAAAGGTTTATTCATGGGACCTTCCTCTTTCAGTAGTTTTGATTTACCAACAATGCACACTATGTGGACAAAATAATGTGGATAGACATTTGTGTTTGAGCCAGTCCCTTTAGATCCAATCAGAGGAAAGCTTAGTGCTGTGTTGTCATTGTATATTCTTTAGGTTTGCACATATTGATGCATCTGTGCAAAAAGAAAATGCAATGCCTCATGCAACGCATTGCAAATATGAGTTTACTGCAGATCAAAGCAGGTTTAAGTTTATTCTTAATTCTTCTGTAGTGATAATATATGAAGCCAGTGGCGGTCAGGGGGGGGTGTAAATGATACGTATGCTAAGCGTCAGACAGTGATGTGTAATGGTCTATGCATTTCTCTATAGCTCTGTCTGAGAGTCTGTGAGGACGCTTGGCTCCATCTTGTGGCCGCTCACACACTCTGCAGTCAGAGCGGCTTTAGGGAACTGATCTTCCATTTTGTGGTTTTATGAATGACATCCCACACATCCTCTGTCTTAGACTCATTTACTGACTCATGTTGGTTAACTTGAGGAAAATAAAAGTTTCCTTTGGAGAGAAGAGAGGTTTGAAACTGTAGAGCCTCCTCCACCCTGTAATGGCTCAACATATGACTAACACAAATAACTTATATTTCATTTAACTTAAGCAGCGCCTGTTTCTCTCCACTCTACTTCATCTTCCTTTCTTAGAGCTCTTCATTCATATTTTCCACAAAGTAATTGTTTACTCATTCATTTATTTTTTCTTTATTGTTTTTCATTGTTTTTCAGTTAATTTATGGGCGCTGCATACCCTCCCACACACGACCATGGATTTGTCCTCCATCACCATAGCAACGACAACACCTGTTTATTTTGTTTGTTTGTTTATTTTGACATTCCATCTTGACATTGTGCACATGGACCAAAGACACTGAGGATGATGAGCATGACGAAGCCACAGGGAGAGAGTGAAAGATGGTGAGAGATAAAATAAAACAAATGTTCACCTGCCAACAGTGGCCATCTCATTAATTCAGGATCGTACATTCTATGCTTTTTTTGGACACTTTTTATAAATATATGCAATTTTAGTTTTTCTATGTTGTGACTTAATGATTTTCTGTTGTTTTTTGTGTTTTTCCATCAACTATTTACACAGAAACGTGAGGCTTTTGGCTCTACAGTGTAACGCATCAGGTCATTTAAAACCGTTCAATTTGTATCTAAAGAGTTTAGGATGAGCTTGATCGTATACTAACATTTAAATGACTAAATGGAGACCAAGAAATCAAGCTTTTTTTAAATACCTGAGTTTTGAAATGTTTTGTGCCTGTTAACCTTTTGTAATCATTAAGTACATTTCACAGTAGAATAATCCCTGAGCCCAAATACATTTAAATAGCAATATATAAAGCAATAAAACCGAGTACCTGTATACTGTATATATTACTGCATATACATTGGTACTGACAACCTAAAGCTTAGTCCAAACTATATAAAAAAAGGAATGCAATATTTTGGTGCTGTTTTGTATTAACTCAATAAATGTATGTGAATATTTTATAGAGCTTACCCAGCTTAACTATGCAAAATGACCTAGTTTTTGAATATGATATAATTGTAAGACGCATATATGACGGTGTACATTGTCGACAAATGATGTAACTTTATTGTTTCCACCTTGATGGGAGTGTGTGACCGTGGACACACACATGAAGCCAGTATATACAGCATATGTATACACACAAACACAGGATTCAGGTAAACATACAAGCCTCAACTCGCTGTAGGAGAGTTTACACTCAGAGAGAAGAGAGCAGCTGTATTTACTGTCTGTCGTTGGAAATAAATGCAACACCCCCCCCCATCCTGACTTTGATGTGTCTCTCTGCCATGATTTCTTTGACGATATTCAGACGGGAGGGAGATGAAATGGAAACACGGGCAGGTAGAGCCACTTTATTCCCTCACACACAACACATATAAACACACAGACACACACACAACACATATAAACACACAGACACACACACGCTCTCGGCCTCAACTGTCACCACAACAGCTGTCAGCCTAAGATGCAGTGTTTCCTGTTTGGTGATCTCTAACTGAAGAACTGAGACATTATTGTTCAGGCTAGTATGTACACCCCCCCCCCCCTCCCCCCCTCCATTGCTTTAACAATGCGTGTGTGTGTGTGTTTGCTAAAGGTGGAGGAATACATGTGTAAAAGAGGTAGGTCTTTAGAGGAAGTGTGTACGTTTCAGGGAGATGACGGTGGTTGTGAGTGACGTGTGGGTGTACAGGAAGCGTGTTAACACAAATTGCAGCTGGTTGTTACGCTGTCTAACAATTGAAAAACAAGTCTGTACACATCATTCTTGTGTGAAGACGGATCAAATAGTGTTTCCTCATTTAACTATTGGTATCAGTTTTAAATGAAATCGTGGCAAGAATTTAACTCGTTGTATTATATGGCATATTAAATTCATGTGCTTAGTACACATTCATTGAAGGTATTTTGAATTAAGATATACCATACTTTATACTATACAATCCAAAATATATCCCTTATGTTTTGCAAAAGTATTAGATTTGGTAAATATTATTTAAAACATGCCCATCTAACGATTACTGCTACTATCAAATCATCAAATGTTTGGGATAAAACTGCAGAAAAGGTGAACAATTCCCATCACAATTTCTAAGGTCACTTCTTTTGAAGTTCGAAGAACATCCGAAGTTGAATTGCTTTTTTTACGGCACTGAACAAGTGTGTTATTCTTTGAAAACAGACGGCGGAAGTCAGGACCCAGTGTTCAGCTCTTCACAGATGAATGGTTTTGTGTAAACGGTGATGGCTCTGTAAGCACTGTTATTATTCTGTCCACCACCTGCAGGGCTCACTGGATCTGGATCTCTTCCCCTCTATCCTTTAGAACACAAACACTCTGCTAGCAGCTGAGGGATAATGGCTCTCTGACACTCTGTTCTACATTCAGGACACGATGCACACTGTACACACCTTATGGGCTGCTGAGGTATAGTGCTGGAGGCAAAAATGGAGGACAGAAGTTGGTTAAATACTAAGTAAATAAGGGAATTGGTAAAAAGGCAATTAATCATAAACCAAATTAAAACTGTAGCCTCAATGTATGTGATCAATTGATTCCTAAATGTATTATCTTTGGTACATTTAATGATATGTGCACTTTGGGGCTTTAAAAAACATTTTTTTTGGCTACTTCCGTCAAAAGTTGAATTTACCTTAACTCTTTGTTTTAATAATTCAAACTCAAAACAGTCAACGTTTTGTGAACTTCTAGAAGTTTAACTTAAAGAAGTTCATGTTACAGCTTCTAGTTTTGAATGTTACCAATAACATAGATTAACAATAATCTCTGACACAGGAAGAAACCATAGATCGTCCAACCTCAGTGACGAAAATGAAAATACCACTTTAGACTTTTCAAGTCATAGCTTTATTTCTGTTGTTGACCAGACGATAAAGATAGCTGCCTCATTAAATGAAGAAATGGAAACAACCTTTACATTGGTCACTGTGCTGCTTCCAGCCTGACTTGATAAATGCAACAGAATTCACAGTTGAGGAAACGGACAGTAACTGGTTCACATTATCTCACGTTTCTGACCTCTGAACACAGTAAGGCAGCAGAGTCAGCTTAAATTGAAAACATAATATTCTGTACCCGTTAAAGAGACATTTCAGTATCGGGATGAAACAGAAATATGTGGTATTTACAAATAAAAACAGGATATTTCTATCCCCAATACTTTGACAATATTTGGTGTATGATTTGTGGCACTGTCATACATTATGAAATAATTAAAAAGAAATATTTAAATCAGTAATCAGGTGATCTCATGATGTTCTGCTCTAGTATTAAACTAATCTCCCAAAGGTGCTCCTGCTTTGTTTGATATGCAACAATAGTCACATTAACCAAATCAGTACAGACTGAAGCATTAATGAAATAAAAACATGTGCAGCATTTAGTCAGGAAATTAAACATTTTGGAAAATGTAGCTTTTGTAAATAATTGCTAAATATACAACAAATTAGTACAAGGTAAAATATTGAAAAAATATATATATTTTTAGCATTTCTTAATAAAAAAAAAAGCTTGTCTTTATCTCAAGGTGCTACGTGGTCCTTGGAGGAACCTGAACACCAAGACACCTCACATCAAACTAAATCGGGATCAACTCACAAACATAAAAAAAAGCCGCTCTTGGGCTTCAACCACACTCATAAAAACACACATAACTGCCTAATCCTTCTTCTTTGACCTCACACTTGAACCATTTGTGGAGGATATTTAAGGACCGGTATGTTTAAAAGTAGAAAATATGGCAATAATAATATTAAAAATAACAATAATAGCTTGAGAACTTAAATAGACCGTTAACTCTGCACCAAAGAGAAACATAATTTCTGTCCCGCTAAAGAAAAGTAACAGCGTCAGAATACCTCTGATCCATACACACCTCCAGACTTCTGTGTGGACAAGTGCACGGTAGAATCCAAAACAATATCTTCTTTTGAACCAATTTCTAGTTCAGGTTCTGGGTCAGTTCCAAGTTTTTTGCAGGTTGAACATCTCGGTTAACGTCGGTATCATCAAAGCTTGCAAATGAGGTTGTTAGATGTACTGAACTACACTATATTGGACATTCTCCATGTGAGATGGGAGGACGGTGTGAATAAAACGTCCCTCTAGTTGAGGGCGGGGTGCAGAGGCGGGCAGGGCGAGACGTTTTTCTGCTGGGAATCGACATTGTTTCCCTGCTGAGTCGTCTCCTCGCTGTACAAACACCTGAAGCCGTCGTAGAACTCGTCCGTGTCCCCCTGCTGTGCGAAGCCCCCCCGCCCCCTCCTGAGGCGCAGCGTGGGGTTCCAGGCTCGCTGCTGGTCTGGGATCAGGGCGCTGTTGAAGATGTAGACGGCGTTGGGCGGCAGGGAGAACTCCAGGCTCTGAAGGTATTCGTCCACCATTTCTTTGCAGTGGATGAACTCGCCACTGTCCACCTGGGAGAGCAAAAACATCACAATGTGTGTGAGCTACAACAAAAGGTGCTTCAGAAGGAGAGTCCTTTCTGAGAGGACCATTGTGGAAAACTGAGAGCCTTCATTGACCCTAAAATGGGGTGTAAGTGTTTCCCTAGTGTGGGATTCCCTTCTCTTAGCTTCCTCAGTGTGATCATGATGGACCTGGATAAGCGTATGAATAACCAAAGGGGTGTTTGTGTCAGTTTTTGGCAGCATGAAGCAGCATTTGTTGATCTGAATGTGCCAATATGTGCCTTTTTATCCAAAACACCCAGCAGTATGGAGGATAATTGATGCTGTTTCTGCACTGCAAAAGGTGCGAGAGGTTTTTCAAAATAGCGTGGGACATCTAAAGATAAAAACAAGGACTGGCATCTTAAAGAGAACTGGTAATCCATGGTAAATAGATTTTCATCTGGGGAGTTTTAAACCCTTTTCCATCCTTTTTATCAAAACAGGATTATTTTTGACTAATGATTGGCGATGTCATGGGTTTACAAAAATTGAAGTTTATGTACTGCATATGGATAATTACCATCTTTTTTGAGAGTAAAACAATTTTGAGAGTGTATACTGTATTTTTAGACACATTGGTTATTAAGTATTTGAAACCAAAATGTGCTCTGTGAAAGAGTTTACATTTGAAAACTAAACGATTCTAATAATTTCTTAAAATATGTAATTCTAAATGATCTTTTATATTAATGTAAAGCAATATCTTTGTTTTGAATCAACTAGTTTATTTTCAGTTTCCAATGTTTTTGTAGCTAAAGTCTTCTAAACCTCAGCACAGTTGGGCTCTGGTATACATTTTCTCTGTGGGTATAATGTCACATTCTCTTCACTCAAACCAACTATAATCATGGAGGAGGAGCCTGTGCTTTTCTCTTACCTGCGCTTTCTTCAGCAGGTTGGTAAATACGGAGAACCAATCGGGCGTGAGCACCTCCAACTCCAAGGTGATGATGGCCAAGGCCAACGTGGAGCCCTTGAACTGCCAGAGCTGGTGGCAGGCCATACAGTGCTGCACCTGCCTGGTCCACAACGCCGCCTGGAGCCCCGCAGGCCTCTTCTGAAGCCCCGGCCCCGCGGCAGGCGACCCGGGGTCCGAGGCGGAACCCAGCCCGATGGACGGAGCGAGGTGAGGGTGGCCGGAGACGAGCAGGGCGTGGAACTACAGCGGAGAAGAGCAGGGAAGTGGAGCGGAACGAGACCAAAACGTTAACATAATGATGTCATTATTGTCTCATCTTCCATCCATTGCCTTTACCTCTTATCAACATGACATCAATGCATTTCATGTCCAACCTTCACAAAACATCTTTCATTCCTTTAACCCAACCTTCATCCCATCCACCCAGGACAATGTCCCTTCGCAGTCTGTGGTTCTCTTCTCAAGTGTTCATTGCTGATGGACACTTTGAGCAACAGATAGAACATCCCATCATCAGGTTTAACCTATGAAGACCTACCCGTTGGCCTGAGGAATCATAGTAATCTTGTTCGTATCGTACGTGCAGTGCGTATGTGTTCCCATTTGTAGGCCGGAACTGTAATTCACAACCTGAGGCTCGATGTTAAAGGACACTTTGAGTTTTAGTTCTTCTTAGTCTTATCACAAAGTGACCAGAAAACAGAAGAAAAAAACCCAACACATTGTGATGTTTCTCTGTTACAGTCAAATGTCTATCATGTTGTGTCATTTGCTTTAGTTTTGTCTCTTACTCGGTAGCAAAAATAAGCCATGGGTTTTTAAAGAAAGAGGAATTTACTGGAAGGTAGATTCAGCAATGTGGTGCCAAATTCAAAAAGGAATTTGTTAAAACAGCTCTCGACTTCTTCAAGCTTTCTAAACTGCCTCCACAAGTTTCCATTCTTCACTCCACTATGGGAATGCAGGGAGTATTCAGGGTGACGTAGCAAACAAAGGAAGCTTTGTGTTCCGATTGGACAGCCCGATACAGTCTCAGACGGTGAAAGATTTGAGAGCCACATAGCGGATTCTGCCTTTCAAAGAGCTTCATTTGGATATTTAAGAATATTGAGAGCTGATGACAAAGCATCTCTGTAAATCCTCTTTATATATCAAAGTGTCATGGTGACCAATAATAGATAGATTTTACTGATAGCTGTTTTATAGAAAAAAGAGAATGCAAAGTTATTTCTTCAAGGCAGGGGGAATGCCATTGTGAGGTAATTACAGTATTGTTCAAAAGTATTTGAATAGTATAAAAAGAGAAATTCTTTATTTTAATATAGTTTTTATTGATGCTTTATGTCTGTTTATGTTCAAATATTTTTTGGAATATATAAAGTGAAGTGCAAGGAAAATAAAAGCTTCACATCAATAACACGCTGTAAGCCTATGACACCATGTCAGTCAAATGCACGTTATAGTTGTGAAAATGCCATTTTTAGTCCTGCAGAAGACACTGAATCAGTTCAAATGTGCCAAACAGCTTTTCGGTGACAGTTAATGGTTTGCTGCTTTAAAGAAAATGTATCACTCCTCCGCAAATTTCAATATCACAAACAAATCGAACGCTGGCATTTATTTGTTGAGGGAATGAAGCTGTGCTTTGGTCCGGGATGAGATTTTTGACTAACAGAATGCAAAACTTCAATCCCTGTCAGATTTGTTGTGTGGAGAATGTTTATCCTTAGAACTGAGCAAGTCAACACAATGGAAATCCTTTGAATATTGTGAATCAATGCCAACTCTTGTGGAACTATTTGTAATGAAAACTGATGGGCTGTATTCATAAAGCGTCACTATGCTGGCCTCCAGTCCAAACTGTTTGCGTCCTTATTCATAGTAAGATGTAATGTTCAGTTTAATAACAGTTTGTATTGCTTTAAGTCAACTTCACTGTGATCCAAAAAGCTGTGCTGCTAGTGTGGCTAAAAACTAAAGTAGTTACTGGAGTTTGTTTTACAAAGAGTTTACAGATCAAATAACCAAATTGAGATTGAATGCAATAAACTGGTTTTGCATACATTTGCCGTAGAAGTAATGTATGAATCTATTTAATAACATGCAGCCCTATGTATGTGAAGCATATTAAGAGTTGTTCAAACTGTTTCCTTGGCGCTATAGTTACTGATCTTTTATCATAAAGTGCTGGATGTTTTCTTATTAAAAGCGTTATGAATACAGCCCTGGGTGCGATAGCATGAAGGGACCTGAAGAGAGTGTGTGTGTGTGTGGCCTAGCATTACTATACTTGTGGGGACCTAAATCTGTTTACACAGTCACGTGTGGGGACTTGCCTCCCTTATGGGGACAAATTGAAGGTCCCCATGAGGGAATCATTAATTTTAGGGTGAAGACTTGGTTAGGTTTAGGGTAAGGGTTAGGCATGTGTTGGTTAAGGTTAGGATAAGTCAATGTAATGTCCCTTGAAGTGATGTATACTGTGTGTGTGTGTGTGTGTGTGTGTGTGTGTGTGTGTGTGTGTGTGTGTGTGTGTGTGTGTGTGTGTGTGTGTGTGTGTGTGTGTGTGGACAGTTCAGTCAGTGGCTACTGCCTTAGGCAATGATTTGTAAAAGTTTAACAATAAACTACTGTGACTAGATCCAGGCTGTTCAACAATATTGTGCCATAAACTCAGTAACACAGCATGGGACCTTTAACAATGACAACCCTACTTTCACGTAAAAGACAGTCAACTATTCAAAGCACGTTATAGATTCCCTGATGGTAAAACATTTCTGTTAAGTCTCTCGAGGTCTCCTAATAAATAAAAAAGGACCTTATATCTCCGCGCCCCCCCCCCCCCTGGGTTTTGGTATCAATAGTTGGGCAGAAGTTAGTCAGAAGTGCCTTGGCCTGATATGCAACATGCCTGTTATTTGCTAGCAGCTTGCAAATGCAGACTTATGTGGAATAAACAGCTCTCTTCAGACCTTCTGCCGATTGGGTCTTTGTCCACAATCAGATTCAACAGATTCTATAATTGTCACTTCTGCTGACAGCTGACATTAAATCATATTTACATTGGGAAAAGGCAGTGATTTTTAGAGTTAGCAATAACTGAAAGCAAGGTGATTTCCATCTGTTAACCTTTAAAACAAGTGAACAAGTGCGCAAAAACAATAACATTTCGGTTTTTATCAGTGTTGAGGTCAGGTAGCCTTAGATTATTTTACGTCATTATTTAGAACAATATTTTATTGATTCTATTCAGATGTATTGAAAAACCAAATATAAATGTATTATGTTCTAATTGGACTCCCATTTTATTATGTGCACAGTTGCTCTTGACCTCTTACAACGTTCTAAACGTGTTCACCCCAAGCTGGACGGAATGGAGTTTATAATAATGGGAACAATGAGTGAAATCAAATAAATGCACAATCTCTACTGGGACCAATTTACCTTTATCTCTTCTGAGAGAGTAGGGGTTTGTGAAGGTTTGTGAAATACCGTCTTGAAGCAAACATGATGCAAGCATGATGGCAAAATGTGTGCTTTTGTACCGCTGGGTTTTAGGCAAGACCGGGACCAGAGTTGACGAAGCATTTCAGGTCCAGCTATGAGATGCTCGGACAACTCAGGTCCAGGAAAATAATAAAAATAAAAGTATTGTTTGCCCATCTATCTGCCAACTTACTATGTGAATGAAGTCGACTGCCGTTGCGGTGTACAAGTCCCATTGCAGCTTGTCTAGAATGATCCTCTCCATGCGAAGAATCTCAGCTGTTGAGAAGCTGCATCCGCTCTGCACAACCAGGTCTTGAACAGAACCTATTACCTGTTTAAAAACAGACACAAACAAATAGGGAAGTAAATAAATGTATTGATTTGAAATAGCATTGACTTCTGTTGTTTTTTGTTTGGTTATCTGACGTGTTTCTTCGTATCTTTAGGAAAAGATCTTACCTCATCTTCCTCGTTGATTTTGGCAGCCAAGACCAACGAGGTGAAAGCAATGCATTTCAGGTATTTGGGTTGGGCCTAAGAAAAGAGAATACTCTATTTAGTTCTTCAGAAGCAGGACAATCTAAGAATGTCAAAACAAACACCAGAAATCAAGATGTTTTTCACTGCTTCTTTAACACACTTTTTATATCATACTATGTTCTGACACAATTAGAAATGTAAAGTCAACAGCTTGGAGAGACTGGGATTGTCATTTTTTTAACTATTTAAAAAAGACTTTATGGGCCAAACAACTCATCGAGAAAATGTCCACCAGATTAATTGATAATGACAAATATCGTTAGTTGCAGCCGTCTACCTTGACAGTGGACAGCAGTCGGTTAAGGACACAGACTCCCAGTGCAAACGTTTCTGGACAGAAGTGGAACAGCCGGTTCATCTCTCCAAGCCAAAAGATAATTTCTTGATATTGGGATGAGGAGACGTCAGCACCCTGAGAGTTCAAAGAAGAAAATGATTGGAAAATAATAATTCAGGTTGTTGGCAGTACAGGCCATCCAAAAAAAGCCCCAAAGAAAGACACAATTATAGTAATTATACTGGGGCGTCAGTTTCATGCAATTAATGAAAAGTCTCACTTTTTTAGATTTCAGATTATTACTATTAATGCTTTTACTCTCCTTTTTCATGCTCGTACTTGAATTATTAATTTCCTTATTACAGAAAGTGACTTTTTAATTGTTAGCTTTAAAAATTAAGACATGAATCTTGTTGCTTCGTCACACAAGGAAAACTTTTCATTTTACAGAGGACCAAGATTAGGGTTTCTGTTCCATTTTAGGCTTTTAATGACTAATTATAACGTGCTTTACAAAGATGCTAGACTTACCTGGATGCATCCATTCTTGAAGAGCGGTACCTTCCAGAGACGAGCCTCCCTCAGCAGGGCCGCCTCCAGCAGGACGACCAGCCGCCGGCTCTCTGCAGCTCCGGGGCTCTTCATCGCCACCACAGCACAGGCTGGGCTGCACCCAGGGCACACACACCTGGGGAGAAGAAGAAGAACAGGCAACAGATAAGACATTAAAATGGGGAAATACACTTCTCTTAAAAATGCATTTAGCATCTATCTTTCCTATGAGTGCCCATTGCTTTCACTCAAATGCAAGTACAAAAACAACATTTAATTTAGCCGTTATATCAGTAGAATGCCTTGTCTTTTGCAATTTACACTTCTATTGTATTTTATGAGGATGCAAGACAACTGGTTTTGAAAACTATTACCACAGTTAATACATCATCTGTCACAAGTTAAGGCCCTGCATTAAAAACTTTAAAAGTACAACAAAAAGTTGTCTCAAAACATACTTAAAGTATCAAAAATGTAATAATTATGCAGAATGATACATTTCAGAATCTTATCTGTGATACAATTGTGAAATGTATTAATCACTTCAATGTTGCAGATGGTCAAGGTGGAGCTAACTTAAACTACACTACTATATTTGTCTCTTAATAAATCAATCTGAGAGTGACAAGTGAACAATGGCAGTCAAGTTAATTTACTGAAGGTCAAATCTCAGGGTTTCCCTCTGAGATGTAGAGGAGTAGAAGTAAACTATAATGTAGCCAAAGTGGACATAATAAAGTTTAGTAAGTACAGTACTGAGTGAAAGTACTTAGTTACATCCCACAACTGAGGACAACAAAGGATTAAATATACAGAAATGTTCCTTACTACACAAATGTAGCTAAACACGAGAGTATGAAGAGCAGCTTTAAGTTTGGGACATTTTTAAAGAATGTTAGAGAATTCCTATTGTGCATAAACTTTAAAGCATCAGTTCTGGCCGCCTTAGTAATATGGTAAACAGAAATACCGCTCTCTGCTCAAAGAGCCAAGTATGCAGCAGGAAATGGCTGTTTGCACAACAACATCGCCATTCAGTCTATGAAGGCTGGAAGCACAGGATTGAAAAACTAGACTTCATGCAAAACGTTTAAATATGTGTGACTTTAGTCCGCTGAGGGATTTTACACACACAGGATAAAGGTATCCAGGCGGGATAATGAGCTGCAGCTGCTGCGGACCCTTGAACAGTTGTGGCCAGAACACATTTGTCTTCCACCTTTTGATCAGTCTTACCTCTTCGATTACAAACGCAGGATATCCCCTCGACGGCAGGTACATTTATACGGTTTCTCAATTAGTCCATATTCCTTGAAAGCAACAAACAAGCAAACAGTAGGCTGCTGTTTGAGAAATCTATCCCGAGGGAGAAATATGTGTTTTTTGGTGAATATACGGAAAGCAGCCTCATTATATAAAAAATAAAAATAAAATAAAGGCTACAAAGCGCGAAGTACTTTACATAACTGGTGAGAGGAGAAAATAAGCGCAAAAATTAGGCAGGAAGCAAAAAGAATCAGGCAGGATTGAGGCCAAGCTGTGTTTTGAACGCTCGTGACTCCGCCCCTCCGTGACGTCACTCCATCTATTAAACATAAATGTGTTAGTAGGTCAGACATACGGGACCCCTCACACAAAATGGTCGAGCTTTAACTGAAAATGGAAGATTTCTATAGTGTGTAACCCAACAATATATTTGTTAAGGTGCTGAAAAGTGTAACTCTAGGTTCATCCTCTCTCTGTGAATGAATCCTGAGAGACAGACTGTGTCCAGCAGCCAGTGGCGGTTCTAGACCAATTTGACTGGGGGGGCCACTGGGGGGCCAGTTATTTTCTGAGGGGGGCACAATAAATGCAGGACGAAAAAGAGAACTAGACACAATTATAGTAATTACTGGGGCGTCAGTTTCATGCAATTAATGAAAACTCTCACTTTTTTAGATCTCAGATTATTACTATTAATGCTTTTACTCTCCTTTTTCATGCTCGTACTTGAATTATTATTTTCCTTATTACAGAAAGTGACTTTTTAATTGTTAGCTTTTGTCCAGCAGCCAGTGGCGGTTCTAGACCAATTTGACTGGGGGGGGCCACTGGGGGGCCAGTTATTTTCTGAGGGGGGCACAATAAATGCAGGACGAAAAAGAGAACTAGACAGTATGAAGTAATTGCGCATAAGAAAACAATGCAATACAGTTATTGGTATTTGTTTCAGTACACTTATTTATTTCAGATATATCTTATAGTTATTACTGTTAGCTTCAGCTTAAGTTATAGTGCAATGTTTGCACTAACATCATATAAAAATAAAGGCAATGAACAGTTACATCTCTACTTTACATAAGGGTGTCTGCACAATCTCACATTACAGCAACAAAATCCTGCGGTTTTTGGCAAACCGAGTACCAGAAAATATACATTTAAAAAAAAAAAAAACTTTTCATTGTTAGGAGGGCCACAGGGGGGTCAGAGGTCAGTGTTAGGGGGGGTCAGAGGTCAGTGTTAGGGGGGGGCACTGGCCCCCCCTGCCCCCTCTAGAACCGCCCCCCACACACACACACACACACACACACACACACACACACACACACACACACACACACACACACACGGAGGGGGGGGGAACAGCGGTAATAAAGTTTAAAAGTCTAAAAAATGCTACAACTACTGTCACAAACTGGATGAATGTGAATTATTTTGTTAAAGGAGGATGAAAGCGTAATTAAGGAGCACTATTGGAGTGACTTTGATGGTTATTGGACTCATTATTAATTCCTTTGGATTCCCGCTGTATGAAGAAATTAAAGGACGGCGCAAGTGGAAACAATTCACAAAGGGATTAAACTGTTTAAAACACATGCTCAAAGTAAGCCGGATTTTGCCGATGTGTTTATGTGGATTCAAAAATCGTAAATAATCTACAAAATGGAGGAGACCGATCTCATCGGAGCAACTGTGACAAATAATCCAACTGAAACCGGCATGGACAATGACTATGTTTTAAAAATGCGCTTATCCAGAAAAGCCTGGTTTGGACACTTGACTTTTTATGCCTATAATAGCTAGGCCTACTAACTTGAATTTTTATTCAAATTAATTAATCAATTATTTTTTATATTTTATTGTATTGTAGAGACAAGTCTTTTAGTGACAATCATGTATTGCGTTACAATTATATGTAAAAAAAAAATCTAAATATGATATTTGGCCTCAAATCATCTGAGGCCTGACGCCCCCCCTGCGATCTTTGGCGCTATAGTTTTCTTTGTCTCAGAAGACAAAGAAAACATTAAATGTTAAAGTGGTAACATTTTTGCCTTAGAAAATGCTCACCTGATTTTTTGACGATATAAATAGTGGATGATTAATGTTGTAATCAACTAATCGATTATCCACTTATTGCTTCAGCCCTTCCTGAAAGAGACTATAACTGGCCGACCAACATCGCTATCAAAGAACCATAACCAGATGCACTTGAACTACCAACAGGTACACACACTCAGGTAATGTTCCAAATAATACACCATGGACCTTATGAAAAAAATACTTTATACTTTTCTTATTTTGCTTTTATTCTCTTTTTTTCCTACCTAACTGAAGTGGTACTAGAAATGCATATTTTCAAGGCTCCACAATCCCAAAGTAATATTTTTGTTTGCACTGTAGTTTGATGACATAGTGCACAAAGTCTTTCTGGATATGGGTGTCAAAATGTCAACAATATTACAAACATAAATACATCTCAATGCCATCTCAACTGATGATAAAACTAATCCTCAAACTTTTCCACCATCAGAATAACAAAACCAATCCAAGGCTGAGATTGCAACACTGGAAAATGTTGCAATCCTTACTCATTGTTGCTCAATAGCCTTTTCTGCAGTAGCTTTTTCTCTCTTTTGCTCCCAAAAAAGACGTTTAGAATATAACCTGATGCACAATACTTTAATATCTAATTTTGCTTTATTAAGAAGACAAATAATTTAGATGTTCAAAATCTGAGATTAAACAGGGTATATTTTAAAGCAGTATATCACATCCAGACACAATTAAAAAAAAAAACACATTATATTATAGAAGCAACATGAAAAGCAGCAGCAGATACTCAATGGTGAGGACTGAATCAAGCTTAAATACAAATATACTAAATGCTGTGTGCTGAGGTAGAAAGCTGGCTTGAAAAAGTATCTGTCCTTATTTCTTGTTGTGCAATTGGTTATAGAGATGAATGGACAGAAACACATGTGTGATTACATTTGAATTTTCAACCAGTTATTTTAGCTGTACCAGAAACATGTCAGGATTGTTATTGTTTCTCTGACCCTGATGTAGGTTAGCAGTAAAGTGTGCCTCATGCAAAAACCTTTTTAGATCACAACATACATGAAATTACAGAGATTGTTTCAGCCTCTGTGTGACCTCAGTAAAAACATTTTCCAAAGCTCCAGACGCTCTCTGTCCGCATATAGAGTCAACAAATGTCCCCTAACCCCAGTCAACAGATGTCAGCTATGGGTAGAAACTATTCGCTTTCAACTCTGGCTCACCTCACACAGCTGACGGATAAAAAAACAAAGTTGACCAGTGTGTCAGAGCCAAGGTCACGACAGGAATGTTGATAAGGAAAGACGGGCACAGTGAGCAGCATATCTGCATGTTGACAGAGTGTAGCAGTGGGAACACAGTGGTGTCCCATATCAATTCAGATTGTGTTTGACTTGTACATTTTGTTTGTTCTGTGGGTGAGATTAGAATAGTTTTTATTTTATAAATCAAAAGGTCATTCTCATATTCCGTGGGCTTGAAATCACACGTACAGTAACCCTGTCATTCTCTTTATCATGCTGTATCCTCTGCTGACAAGACGTTTTGCGTATTTGCACAGATATGTGTGCGGGTTTACATTCCATTACCCTCAGTCATACGTACCAGTGTGAATGTGACAGAGCTGGAAACTGTTAATATTCATTTTTTCTTAGGCCAGGTTGCTTTTTGGGTGGGTCTGTGCGACTACGAGACCAAACCACTGCTAACTCCCATGGGAGCCAGGGAAAACATTTCACACACTGAGGGCATTATACTGTGCTTACAGTAGAGGGGGATAAAATGGATGTGCCTACCTTACATGTCTATTCAAGTCTGAGGCTGACTATTTGCTATATTTTTCTTGTTGTCAACAAATCCCATAATAAGAACAAAACTGACAATGTGTTAGCCTGTCTCGCAATACTTTCAGACTTTCCTACCTTGCTTTGACTCTCGGCCTTAAGCCACATTCTGTTGCCAGTGATGAAGTAAATCTTTAAAACAGGGTTAAGTGAACTATACACTCTGCACATCTCTCTATAGTGTTTTACAGTTTCACTTCTTTGGAGCCCTGTTGGATTGAAAATTAGTAGATCAATAATTAAATCAAACCAGAAACCAGATAAAGGGACAGAGCTAACCAAGGCTAAGTTTTTATTCAATATTCATGATAATATGTTTTATAACATCTTTTACAATTGTTACTCTTTCTGGTGAGAAAGACTTTGAGATAAGATGACCTTGCATTTGGCTTTAATATTTGTTGTCCATTATGCATTAATTAATTAATGTTTTTTGGCATTTCATATGTAAAATATATGAAAAACCTGCCGGTCACAGCTTCAAATAGCTTGCATTTTTTTGCAAGTAACTCTTTTGGAGCTTTTGTTGGAGCTTTGTCAAAGAAAGGCACATCATGGTTTTGGCCCCTGGTAACAATTGTTGCAACATACTAAATGATTGATCAACTAAGACTTTGTTACATTGAACATTTATAAATTCTCAGTCAAAGCCATAAGTATGATGGTATACAATTGTGGTGGCCTTGCATAAAAAGCAACTATTTTCCAAAGAGATAAAGTGCTGCATAAATATCCCCTTAAGCAGTGATTGTCTTTTGAAATGGTAATGATAAATCAGAAAATCTACACATGCAAATGTAAAAGATGAAACATTTAGCTTGAATTACCCAGAAGAAATACATATATAATCATATACAGTGCGACAGTATTCACTAGGGAGCTCAGCTGGACTGCTTGTACAAGAGATGAAAACACTCACAGAGCCTCGGGGGAACACTGGCTTCAACTTCCTGGATCCTAAGTGTGAAACCGAGAAGGAGCTTCTACATATTTAGCTTGATATCTCAGTGATGGATTGAACACAGTCAGCTCTGATCAGTTTAACAAGAGTTTGAAAAGTGTCTGCAGACCCCCTATGTCTCCACTCTACCCTCTTAGCCAAAGAATGTTCAGCACCACACCGTAAATCAATGTCAACCCACAACCAACTTTGTCCTGTCAGGAAAGCTTTGTGCACCCGACTGAGCACATTATGTTCCCAAAGACATGTCTAATCTCTGACTTTGATCACTGCCTGTCGGACCAAACTGAAATGGTTTTCTTTTCTTTTTATCTTTTGAGGCCCCTCTCAAGCATTGTAGCCTTTGCATCAGCTAAACTGACGTACAGATTTTCAGGAATTCTCTGTTTGAACATTATGTACTGCCCACACTACTGATGG